AAAAAAAGAGAGGAGTCCCTAGCACTTTGGGAGGCCAAGGTGGGAGGATCATTTGAGCCCAGGAGTTTGAGACCAGCCTGAGCAAGAAAGCAAGATCCCATTTCTTAAAAAAATAAAAAAAAAATGAGCCAGGCATGGTGGTATGCACCTGTAGCCTCAGTCTCAGCTACTCGGGAGGCTGAGGCAGGAGGATCGCTTGAGCTCAGGAGTTTGAGGTTGCAGTGAGCTATGATGGCACCACTGCACTCAAGAACAGGCAACAGAGCAAGATCCTATCTCAAAAAAAAAAGAGATGAGTCAAGGATATTCTAGGGTTCTGGCCTGGACAACTGAAAGGATGGAGCTGCCACCAAATCAGATGAGAAAGACTGCAGGCTACGATAATGAGTTTGATTTTACACAATTGTGAGGCGCTGATAAGCTATCCAAGTGGAGATCTGTAACAGAATACTCAGATGAGTATAAGAAGCTAAAGTTCAGGAGAGAGGTACCAACTGCAGATATAAATTTGATAGCCAAAGGAGTGAATTTAGATACAGAACAGGTGAAAATGAAGGATAGAATCCTAGTTCCCGGGACACTTCAAGGAAAGAGACTGGGGAAAGGAGAAGGAACTAGACAAGTAATGGGAGAAAGAAAGGTCAAACAGAAAGAAAATTAAGAGAATGAGGTACCCTGGAAGCCAAGAAAAGAAAACGTGACAAGAATGATAATCTTCAGTTCTCTTTTTGGTTTCTTTGGTTTTTGTCTCATGTGATTTCTGTCATGAAAGATACATGAAAATGTATGCCACTGATCTCTTTTCAGTTAACAATACCCATTTTGGTTTGCTCCCTTCGTCATCAGAGTCTGTGGTGATCTCTTGGCAACCCTAACTTCTAAGCAACAATGATCCCAAGTAATGGCTGGTCTTGCCACTGAGCTTTCCTGTGAGAAGCTCAAAAAGAAAACTGTGATGCAGTGTTTTAAATTAAAAGAAAACAAAAATCACAGGCCTAGGAGAGCAAGCTTCAGTCTTTCCATTGCCACTTAACTAAAAGCCTAACTTAAATTATAGTATAGATCACTGTGCTTCAAAAACATAACAAAATCAAAAAAGCATTGAACGAACAAAGGCTGTCATCCTAGCTAACGAACTGGACGTTATTAACTGCGAAAAGAAGTGCTACAGAATTAGCCCCCAAATGATGAACGCTGATCCAAATTAGACAACATCTAAAAGCTGAAGAACTGGAACTGCCTGCAACGATGTAATTCAGAAAGCGCCAACAAGCACTTTGAAAACTGTTCAAGTTTACAGACGAAAGCAATTCAAATACACTATTATCCCTTTCCCTTACCAGAACTCACTGAGCATATCAAACTCCAGCCCACATCCCCAGTGTCGGGAACAGAACGTAGTCCTTGCAGTCCCCTAGGTGGCTGGAGGGTGTCAACGTGCATCCCCTTCCCCGCGCCCCCCGCCGTGAACGGTTCCAGAACGGAGTGAGATCCCCGACAAGGTCGCTTGTAAGTAGTAGGACCCTCTGGAGAACCTAAAGCTCAGAAAGAGCACGAGGCACGTGGAGCACCCACAGCAGACACGCGCCTCAAACAGCCCGGTTTGCACTCCGCTGCAACAGGACATTCCGCGCCGGAGCCGCTTCCCCGCAAGACGACGCCCGGCCTTACCGCTGCCGAGGCGCCCTGCGGCCGCCGCCATGTTGACCACGCCGGATGGTGTTCGCGAAATCGGTCCGACGTTTCGACTGGGAAGGATATTTTTAAAGTTCTGTACCGGAATTGGCGAAGGGGGAAGAGGTTAGGAGGAGCAACAGGAACAGGGCGGGGAACAAAACAGGCTTTGCCGCCGGCGTGGCGGTGTCACCGCCAGTCCTCCGTGCCGCCCGGGACCCTCCGTCCTGTGGTTCCTGCAGGACGGCGGCTTAACCACCTGCAGGGAGACACGGTCCTGTTGGCGATGCCGTAGTTACTGTATTCCTTTCTTCTTCTTCTTGTTTCTTTTCCTGCGAATCCTCCAAGGGTGCTCAGAACGGTAATTTTAACAGATTTCTAAGAGTACCTAGGACCCAGCCTAAAATGTTGAAAAACGGAAACCCTGAAGAATCCCGCCAGCTTCCTCCACTGCACGTCCAGCCTTGTAAAGACTTTTAAAAAATTCGCCAGGCTCTTCGCCACCACCCAAAGAGGGCGAAGCGGGTGTCCCACTCACTAACAAACTTTCTTTTTAACTCAGCGCAAGATCGACCGTAGCTTAACATAAAATCTTATTAAAATGCACTGCATTTTCTCCCTGCTGACAAGCGGTGCCATCAGGATCAATTGAATAAGAATGCTTGACACTTATATAACACTGCTAGTTTTAAAATGGCAGATCTGAGACCTACGCACAGGTTATTCTGACGGGGGAAAAATTGAGTGTTCTTTCCATTACGTCACGGCTGTCGGTGTGGTTTGTCTAAAACAAATCTGATCACGGATTAGATCGCTTCCCAGTTTAAACAGAACTTTCCAGTGGCTGGCCAGCTCTGAAGCGGGTTTCTGGTCTCCGCCTACCTCCCCAGCTGCAAGCCCACGCCCACATGCCCCCAACGCACATGGACACACACGACACACGGAGGCTTCTCACCTCCGTGGCTTTGTGCACGCTGTCCCTTCTGCTTGGAATATCTTGTAACACATCACCTCGGTAACTTTTTTTTTTTTTTTTTTAAGATTTCATCTCGGGCTTTACTCGTGTGTGAAGCCTCCCTCCTCGCTTCCCAGGTTGAGTTATGGCCACCTCTTCCTGGCTTTGTACAGTACCCAGGAGTTATATTTGGTTTCGTTTGTTTTAAACAGTTTTGAGATATAATTCACAAATTCACACACCGTACAATTCACCAATCCATACTATACAATTCAATTGTTTGTAGTATATTCACAGAGTCGTGCAACCATCGCCACAATGTATCTGTTTTTCCCACCAGTCTGAACTTTTTGTGGACAGAAATCATGTCTTATTCATTTTTGTAACCTCAGCACATACTACAGTACCAGGCCTAAAAAGACCCTCAATACATGTTTGTGGAATAAACGAATATATGTATGCATGAATTAGTGACTCCATTAGGATGGCAAGCCTGCAAAATTCACTTCCTTCCATGAAGTTACCCACAGTAAAATGGACTGGATCGAGATAGGTATTTCCCAGAGGCTTTATTTCATGTTTATATGTAGTACTCATCTACATGAAGAATACGATTTCTAATTTATTGCCTCATCTTGTTAATACATAAGCAGTTACTACAAAGGTTCCATAACCATTTATGACTGTTATGCAAAAAATTCAAAGAACTTGAATCCACCTTTATACTTACTTTCTCTTTCTCCCTCCTTCCCTCCCATTTTCCGTTCTTTTCACAAATATGCCAGTGCCTGCCATGTCTCAAGCAGTGTACTTGGCTATGCATAGATGAAGAAAACTAATCCGATTTGAGAGTAAATGCCAGAATTGGAGCAACTTCACCTAGTCCATTTCAGACAAAACAAACACCAGATTAGAGGTGCTGGTCCTTAAACTCTACAGCCCTTCCATTTCCATATCTGGGATCAGTTGGGCCCCATCTGTGGACTCTCTTATGTCTCCCGTTCTAACAGGAGGATTTAAATATCGAGTAACATGCAGTATGTTCACAGTAATAGCCTCAGCAAAGCAATGTCATGTATAGGTACGGCTTCCCCGATTGCCCTCTCTGAACACCAGAACTTTTGGGCACTAATCAGGTGGGGCCCAGAATCGAGCTGTGTTTAACAATACATAAAGAGATCCTTTAGCTTGAGATGTTATAACGACTACAAAAGGACTTTATAAAAACTACAAAATCCATAATCTGAAATGGGAACTCCAAACCTCTAAATATTTAATACATAGTGAGTTTCTCCTCACTGAAGAGGCAACAGAGCATTTTGTTTAAGGTCTGTACTCTTGAGCCAAACCGCCTGGCTTCGAATCCCAGTATTATCACTTTCTAGTTGTATGATTTTGAGGCAAACTTCTATTAATATACCTCTCTGGGCCTTGGTTTTCTCATCTGAGATATGGAGCTAATAATGAAATAATTTACTAAGGTACTTACTAAAGTACCTGGCACAGAGTAAGCACTCAGTAACTATTAAATGCCATTATTATAAAACTGGTGAAAGCTCTGACCCACAAAGGCAAAAGGAATAGGCTGTTCTAGTACCGCTTCTTCCAATATCTGCTTATTTCTTAGTATGATCCATGTTGTTCCCATTGTCGTATGTGCCAGAATGACAATTTCTTTATATCAGAACTTTTATTAGTATTTGCAGAAAGCCTTGAGGCTATGCTTAAGCACTTTCTCAAAGTTCACTTTAAAATGCAACTTTTCCCAGTTGATTTCTAGGAAGGTTTATACTCTCCAGGAGTCTTGGCAAAATGCCAGCTGCTGGCCTGCTTGGCTAATTCCCTGGGAAAAATTTCTAAATATTTGCCCAGCGCTGTAGTTCTCTTGATCTGTGTTCTCTGCCTTCTTCAGCCATCTTCCAGTTGACCTGGAAACTTCTTTCCCATTTGGGGTTCAAGTTGAAAATGGATTCTCTTATTGGACAAAAACAAGGTACTCCAAGACATTTTCTAGTTCAGTAGCGTGCATCAGAATCACCCATAAAGCTTGTTAAACTCAGACTGGGGGGCCCCAGCCCCAGAGTTCATGATCCAGTAGGGCTGGAGCAAGAGCCTGCAGATTTGCATTTATACGTTCTCAGGTGATGCTCACATACTGGCCCAGAGACCATACTTCAGAAACCACTTTCTGCAGAAGATCGTGAAACATTTGTACCCATACTTAACATAACTTGGGGGTTGTTACTTTGTTTAACAATCTAATGGTTAATATAATATAGGCTATAAAAGTTCCTCATGTGCTATGTCTCTAGAACTAGAAGCTATCCACTCTTATCTTTTCGCCCTCTACACAGAAACTGCTATTCCGTGCCTGGGTTTCAGCTCCAAAACTGTCTAGCTGTCAGCTGAGAGAATTTCCAATGCCAGTCTGTCTGTCTGTCTGGATTTTAAGTATTGCCAACTCCTAGATTCCTTTCCCCACTTGTGCTTACTTCAGAATTAGATTATTTTTTCATAAAGAAATGACTATCTAAAATAGTTGTTTTTTAGTCACAAAGTTGAAAGTTTGTGAGTGACAGACGAACTCATTTTGTCTTGTCCCCCATTTATGGCAGCTTCTCTGTCCAAACACCCCCAGGAGAATATTTTAATTGCAGATTGGATTAGGAGATTTAGAACTGTCCAGGGGTGTGATGGTAAAAGTGTAACAACTGGTTCTTCAGTACAGAAGAAATGAACTTGTGCCATTTGCCAATTTCCATGGTATAAATACTCCCACAATACCTGATTTCAAGCCACCGAACACAAAATCAACCAACTCAAAATTTCTGGCAATTTGTCATTTGGTTCTCGCATGGCTACAAAATACTACTAGAAGTTTTCTATTAATAGTAAAAGTCATTAGTAACTTTTAGGAGACCTAAACCAAACCAATTCATCCTAGAGCCACGCTTCTCAAACCTTAGTGTAAATTCAAATCACCTGGAAATCTTATTATAATGTAGACTCTGATTTGGTAGGTCTGGCACAGAGCCTGAGATTCTGATTTCTAGCAGGGTCACGAGTGTTGCTGATGCTGCTGGTCCGTGGACCACATTTTGAATGGCAAGGACCTAGAGCAGATTCAAGAGCAAAACCCACGTTTCTGTTGTTAATCCCAAACCAGAACCTTTTAAACAGGCTCCTCTTTCTAATACAAGGAATAAACTTGAATGGATTTCCAAACTTCTGGGTATAAACTCCATGGCCTCCATCTTTCAGTGAAAATACTAAAAATATCAATAACTTCCCGCCCCGTCCACATCTGATCTGGTGAAACTTCCCCTATCATACAAGTAAAATTTCCTAGCCCCAATTCTTTGGATCAGTGGAAACCATCTGACCCAAGGAAAGTCCATCCATACTGTGGCCAGTGACCCATCCTGAAAAGAAAGGCTGGACCAATCATTCCTCTCACAAAACTAAAATTGGGAAAATTGAAGGTGAAACATTTAGGTGGGAGAATTCAAGCTGTAAGGTCATAGAGTAGATCTGAGGCTTGGGAGGCAAGCTGAAACTATCAGGAAACAGAAATGATGAGTGAATAAAGTTACATGGGGCCAATCAGTTGCAAGTATAGAATGGAGTGAGGATGCCAAGAACAGCAGAGATAACAGGATGAAGAAAGAGATCAAGGAGCCTCTGAGAGGAAGACAGCAAATGCCGCCTCAGTTCCTGTTACGGTTTCCAACAGGCCAGTTGTATGACTGTCCCTCTCCCTGTGTTCTTATGAGATCCCTATCTACCATATATATCTCTACAATAATCTCTGTTTTCTTAAGCTAGCACTGGTGAATTTGAATTTCTATATCTTCTTTTAAGAAACTGATTAAAACCGTGGGACTCTAGTTATTCTGGTCATAATGCATGATTTGGCAGCAGAATTAGTAGCAGAGCCTTCATCATGGAATCTCATAATTCGAAAGCTTTTGGAGGTCTTCCATGTATCTACCTCTCTATCTCTGCTTAAATTTCTGGTGACGAAGTCTTGAATATTCTGTAAGGTAGTTCATTCCATTTTTGGACAACTCTAATTGTTAAAAAGTTGTATGTATTAAAGCTGAAATATTCTTCTCTGTAACCTGGATTTAGCTGAACCCTCTGGGTCAATTCCATCTCCACATGGCAAACTTTCCGGTGATTGAGGATAGGTATCATGCCTCCCTTCTAGTCTTTTCCTCACTTGGCTGAATATGTCCCTATTCATAACCACTCATAGTTACTCCCTTCTGCGGTGTGGTGATGAGACCCTCTAATCTTCCTGGAAGCCTTACCAAGGATATACTCCAGATTGCCTACTTCTCTCTTAGAATATAATCCCAAAACTGAGCAAAACACTCCAATGAAGAAAAAAACATTGGTTCTGGCAAATCTAATGGCTTTACTTAGTACTTTGTGATTCCTTTGTTTCCCGTCAATACTTCTTGATTTATTACAAAAAGCATGCCACAAATATCCCAAATTTTGAACTAAACTAAAAGCCGAGGTTCTTTTTGATGAACGTTTTGCTTTAAGATTTCTGTGTTTTAGAAAAGGACTGTCCGATACAAATACATTGCAAGCCACATACGTAATTTTTCATTTTCTAGTAGCTACATTAAAAAAGTAAAAGGAAAGAATTAAAATTAATTATAATAGTTTGTTTAACTCAATCTATCCATAATGTTATCAGCTCAAGATGTAATCAATATAAAAAATGACTTAGGGAGCCGGAAGGAGGGCCTGAGCGTGTGTCCCAACTACTTGGGAGGCCGAGGCAGGAGCATCACGTGAGCTCCGGAGTTGGAGACGAGCCTGAGCAACGCAGGAAGACCTTGTCTCTAAAAACAAAAATAAAACAAAAAACATGGAAACATGAAAAAATTGCTTAGATATTTCACAGTCTTTTTATATTAAGTATTCAAAATTTGTTGTGTGTTTTATACTTGGAGCACATCACAATTATATCTAACTGCATTCCAGATGCTCAGTCACCACATATGGCTACCATAGTGGACGGGGCAATCTTATTTATTTATTTATTTATTTTACAGCTCACACATACTTTGTTTACTCGATTGCGAGCTTACTGTACATAAAGTGTTTAAGTGATTAATATCAGCTTTGTTCACATTGACATCAGGGTGTTGTGTTTGGTTTCCTATGCTCAAGATTGCTTCATTGCTGCTGTCGCTGTTGGTTTGTTTTCTTTCAGGATCAAGGTGGGTGCTTTCATATAGTATCTTATTTTTAATTCCTTCCCTGGCAATTCTTTCCTGGATTCTTTGCTTTGCATACTTATACCTGCAATGGAACCAGCATCCTAAAGTCACCAAGATAAGTCCTCCTACTCCAACATCAGATGATCTTCTAATTCTACTAGTTAACAAAAAATGTCCAAGGCCAGCCACAACAGAGCCTAACGAACCATATAACACCGAATCCCAAGCACAGGGAACGTTTGCAACATCTAAGATTCCTCGGAGCTTAAACGGCTTCCCCTTCCCAGGCTCGCCAGGCTCCAGAGTGGCAGCCATGGGGACGAGTTGGCGCCCCAGCCCCTGGATGGGGCAATTTTAGAATAAGAGTAATAGCTAATGCTTATTGAACACTTATTGTGTGCCAGGCACTTTTGCAAAGTATTTATATATTTTAACTCTTTGAATCTTCAAATCAACCCTATGAGATAGGCACTATAACACTATAATTATTCTCATTTTACAGGTGAAGGAACAGTCACTGAAAAGTTAAATAACTTGCCATGTTAGTAAGTAGTTGAGTTGAGATTTGAACCCAGGGTGCCTGGCTGTAGTGTCTATGTTCTTAATCATTATTATGCCTGCATCTCGCACATATTTTAATACGTCGGACACTGTGCTAATCACTTTGCATATAGTATTATGCTTAATTCCAATTTTATAGATGAAGAAACTGAAGCCCCAAGAAACTAGTGACCTGCCAGTTCACAAGTTAGTGTTAGATCTAACGTCAGAGCCAATGCATCATCTAACCACTGCACCCTTTCCTGCTTCACTGCTACCCTAAAACTCCAGTGTGTGTGTGTGTGTGTGTGTGTGTGTGTGTGTGTGTGTATCCATGACTCAATATTTTTGATGCTGATGTTTTAAATTACAGACTGGCTAGATAACATCAGAGTGTGTGGGAGAAAAATAAATAACATGTAAGTACATATACATTAGTTTTTGATCTTCAAAGCCATGCATATAAATCATAAACACCAACAAAACACTAATTAGAGTTACTTTCTTATCTATAATACATGAGGAGGTAAAACTTGTTTGAAATATTTATCTAAAATGTGGAAATATGCATTTTTTAAAAACTTTGCAGGCCTGAGAAAAGTAACGATACCAAGAAAGGAATCCTCAGGAGGAAGTCTTATTTTTATAGAGAGTGTGCATAACTCGCAAGAGGAGGCAGTAAGCAATTGAGAGGATGTGACACTCTTCCTCTCTTTTGTATTGTGTGACTTTATTGTTCTGTATCCTTAGAAATGAACTCGATATCTTGTTGTTACTTTCCTTTCAGGTCCTGTCTTTCTTTTAGATTAGGTCAAACTGAGTCTGAATTCCAGCCTTGGGGGTTAATAAGCTCTTTCTCTACCTCTAGTCATCTCTTTTTTACTGCTTTAGGAAATGAGCGCAGGGTTTTTAGAGAAACTTGGGAATATTTCTTAGTCATTTTTATCTGGAAAATATTGAGTTCGAACACTCCAATATTCACCTGTGCACAGCAGCGTTGCATCTTCGTCTAAACTACGTTAATCCATCTACTGATTTTTCTGTTATTGCTGCTGGGTTAGCATTTTTCCTTTTCCCATAGTTATTAAGTGGTAGACACAGAGGACAGTGATGTTACAGGGAATGGGGTGCGGGTGGGGCAGGCAGGTGGGAAGGAGAATGGAGAGAAGAGACTCAGAGTGGAGGGGCCTTTAACAGCCAGGAAGCCAGAGGTTCCGGTCAGGCTTTCCTGGCATGGTCAACCCCAGCAAGTTATGTTCCTGCTCAGTGCCTCAGTTCTTCCATCCAAAAATAGGGATGACAATATTTTCGTGGCACATGATTCTCCACCTCAGTTCCTCAGCTTCCGTGACATCTTGATAATTAATTCCAAACAACTATGAATGATTGTTAAGGGTTAAGGTGTAATAGATAAATAAAAGATGCTTTCCTAGCTCCTCGGGGAGAGATGACAGTGTTCTATGCCCTAGCAAAAAACAGATCAAAGGACTACACTGGGATCCAGGGAAAGGAAGAAACGTAATTTGCATCCTGAGCCATCAGGAGAAGTGGATCATATTTAGAAAAATAACCCCAGATTTCACCAAAGGTCAAAAGAAAATAATAATGATTGGGCATAGGGGTATGAGTAGAAGAATTACTCAGTAAAATGCCTTTAAACTGTAATAATCTAGGCTTTAAAATATGTACTGGTAATTTATTATCTTTCCTTCATTTGCTCTGTCATAAATGGTATACGAAAGCATCTTCACGAAAATGCAAAGATGCACTGCCCTCCTGAACCCACCCTAGAAGGAAAGCTACAGAAGTTTAGGGAGAGTAAGATGCCCTGGTTCTCAAGCTTCTGCTATGGGAAAGGCCAGAAGCCCTCCATGGTTGACAGCGAGGGTGGGGATTTTTTGCAGTGTTACCACAGCTTACCACGCATACAGCACACAGAAAGAACTCAGGAAGTAGCGGCTGTTCAATAGGAAGTCTCCGCCGAATGCAACCCATGTGCACCCTGAGATTCAGGTACACGTTGGGCATGCAGAGAGCGTCCTGACATCCGCAAGGAGCCTTCGCGTAGCTCTGGGAAGCAGTTCATCCTGAGGAAGGTGAGAGCATTTGAAGGGCACAAGATAAGTATGAAAAAGAAGGCAATTCTGAGTGTGTTGCTCAGAGCTCTGCTTCTGAAACCTTGCAAGGATGAGTGTCAGAACCCAGCCCGGGGAGCCAAGAGACAAATATGTAAAAAAGCCATTTCACTGAAACTGAGCTCAGGACTTCTTGTTTATGGAACCCAGGTAACAAAAAGCATCTGAGAGAAATTCTTGAATGTGGCATGCTGCAGCCTGAGATACACTTAGGACAGTGACAGCTTTCATGGCTTTGGCAACTTTCGTACAGACAGAAGGTAACAAAAAGCAGAAGAGGACAAAAAGGGCTTGTGCCATGCAGTAGCAAGTGCGTTTGGGAACACTTGATGAGACCCTCCCTTAGTACACCCACCAAGAGTGGGGGAGCCTTTGAAGGTGAGGTACAGAGCTCGTCGTTATTGGCGGGTTCTAAAGGCAGAGAAGTATCAGGATCCTAGTTCACACTTGGTCCAGGAAACACCAGCTGCCCAGGAACAGCTATTGGAGAGTCATACAAACAAGTATGATTATGTTTTGTGTTTTTTGAGGGCTTTTATTTATTTATTTTGGAAACAGTCTCACTCTGTCACCCTGGGTGGAGTGCCGTGGCATCATCATAGCTCACGGCCACCTCAAAGTCCTGGGCTCAAGCGATCTTCCTGCCTCAGTCTCCTGAGCAGCTGGGACTACAGGCGCAGGCCAACACCTGGCTTATTTGTTCTATTTTTAGTAGAAAAGGGGGGAGGGGAGGCTTGTCTGTTGCTCAGGCTGGTCTCAAACTCCCGATCTCAAGCGAGATTCTCCTGCCTTGACCTCTCAGAGTGCTAGGATCATAGGCGTGAGCCACCACGCCTGGCCTGATTATGTTTTTATAGTGATGTTGCCTGGTTATGAAGTTTAATAGGTCTTATTCAATGTTTAGTTTTCCTAAATTTGCTTTGACCAGGATTACCAGGGTTTTTTCCTTGTATTTTTTAAAATAAAATATCTAATTCCAGGCTATGAATTAAGATGTGACACACTGTACCCTAAATCTTAACTTACTATTAATCGAGTTAATATAAAATCCTTGTCTACTTTGATAAATCTTATCAACTTACCCATGACTGTTTACCTTATCCCTTCCTCCGTGAGAATTAAACATCTTTCATAAGCCACAAGAAGGCATTATCAGGATTCGTTGTGAAATCCAAATAAACGATGTTGACTGAATAACCCTCCTTCGCCGTGCATGCCGCCTCTTTCAAATCGTTTCACAGGTTAGAAGGTAACTGTTTTCACAGGACTGTTGCGTCCTTATCATGTTGCTGTAAGTTCACCTACTTCATTATCTTTACTCATTTTTTCCTAACAGATGTTTCCTCCTTGCTGTAATCTGGTAAATTACTGGTCATTTCTTATTTGAAAAGACATCACACTGGTTATACACCATTCGCCACCCGCCACATCCCCTCTTCGCCTTTGTCCATCCTGCAGGAGACCGACCCTTTTAAACGGTACCACCTGAGCTCCTCTGGCTTCTGCTTGGGTTTGGCTATGGGAAGCACCAGCAAGAAAGAGAGCGCAGGAAGGAAGAGCTGCCAGGGTATTACCCTGCACCTGCACCCTTACCCTGCACCTCCCTGGCTGTGGTCCTGGCGGTGGCCGCATTCCTTGATGGCCACTGCTTCTGCCAGGCAGCCCGTCTCCCACAGCTGCAGCTCGTACCTGGTTCCAGCAATACTGTATCTCCCCTTGTTCCTTGCAGCCCAGGTGTGGTTATAGTTCCTGCACTTGCTAGTTCACATTTATTTCAACATCCTTGTGAGTGCCCTTAATCCTGCCCACACCTTTGTAAATAATTCTGCTTTTAAACTCTCCTCGGCTAAATTATTTGAGTTTGCCACCTGTTTCCTGCTGGGTCTCTGGCTAATACAGACACCTAGTCAATGTATTGCTAAATCAGACTTTAACTAAAGGGGTGGGATAAACAAAGAGGGTTATGTTGGTAAAAAAAATCTTAACACTGTGCTACCAACAACAGTTCCATAGTCCAAAGGAAATGCAGGCAAGAAGTCAAACCATTCTCAGAAGGTCCTCTTAAGGTTGTCTTTAGTTCTTAAATATGCACTAAGGTCTGCGTCTTACAGTGAGAACACCATCTTCACCTTACTTCTAATGTGCAATTGCTGCACCTGGTCTCTGCTCAAACTCCTTCCCCTGTATAGAGGGATGGCCTTATCCCGTGATTTGCACCCCTTCCAATACAGTACATATGCAACATTTGGAATTGTTCAGTCAAAAACGATGCCTTGGAAACTCCTAACAAGACAGTTCTTTATGTTCATTAGCACTCTCCGAGACCCACAGAACAATCCCAGAGGACACAGACGCTACAGCCCAATGCTCTTTAACTTTTCCCTCTAGTGTGAATTGCAAAAAATGCCTCTTTCTTATTTCGGTTGTCCAGCAGATAACTATTAGATACCCCCCCCACACACATCTCCTAAGGAGAAATATGAATTCTCCCCAGAGACAGTATGCTTTGTTTATACAGTATCGGCCTGCAAATATTTGATGAAACTGACAGCTAATTACCCTAAAAATCTAGGTTTCCGTCTTCTGTTGAAAATCATCGGAAGAGCAAGGCCTACCGAGCCCGTACTTCTGGTCTTGACC